GTGATGGGTTCAAGGTTGAAGCATGAAATCTTTTTGTGTGTTTAATACATATCTTGTAGCCAGACGGTGGTGGCTCACGCCTTTAATCTCAGCACTCAAAGGCAGAGGCAGGAGAATCTCTGTGAGTTGGAGGCCAGCCTGGTCTACAGAGTGAGTTTCAGGACAGCCAGGCCTACACAGTGAAACCCTGTCTTGAAAAATAAAAACAAACAAACAAACAAAAAAAAAAACCCACAAAAACTATGTATCTTGTGTACATAACCTAAAGGCACTTTTATGCACTATTTTAAGTGTGCCCATCTGTGCTTTAACTGTGACCCAACACATAAGATCAGGTGTTGAATTTTGTACTCATGACATCATGTCAGCACTAAAAAAGTTTCAGTTTTTAGAACATTTTGGGTTTCCAGATTATGGATACTAGTATGCATTGACATCATAGAATATATGTAAGCTAAAAAGTCTTTCTGAAGGTGATCCTATGTAGAATTGCCATCTGAGAATGTAGAAATAATCACTTCATGAGCAAGGTAGTAACATGTTAAAGTCTAGTACTTGGATCTACTCTTTGAAAAATTCAGTCTCCTTTATACTTAACAGCTAGCTCTATTTAGTGTCTCAGAAGCACCGAAAGCATTTTAGAGACAGCATTATAATTATAGAGCAGTTAACAGGTGCATGCCCAGCCCTGCCTAGCGTGGTCACACCTTGCTGATTTGTTTTTGCTTTGTTGTTTGGGCTTGGGGTTTGTTTGTTTGTTTGGTTGGTTGGTTGGTTGGTTGGGTTTTTTTTGTTTTTTTTTTTGGTTTTTTTTTTTTCTTTTGTGCATGCATGCTCGTGGGGCCGGGGGCGGGTATTTTTTAGACCAGGTCTCACTATGTAGCTCTGACTGCCTTGCTACACTATGTAGACCAGGCTAGCCTCAAACTCGCAGCACTCTGCCTTGCCTCCACCTTTCAAGTGCTGGAATGTGCCCCACACCTGAGCCACAAGTTTACACATTGAAAAAGAAATCTAAAGAGAAGAGCACAGCGGAAAGAAGAAGAAAGGACCTGCTGTAGAGGCAGCACACGGCCGTGCACCTGCTGTACATGGTGAGAGCGTTTAGAGCAGTGCCTTCCGACTTCAGTCTTTGCAGAGTCTTTGGCGGTCATTGAGAGTTTCTTCTTTAAATCATTGCTCTGTGTGTGTGTGATAGTTGAAAGAAACCCATGTATTTAGAAAGGCAGTTGAGACATTTCTGAGATTCGTGGTGAGAAGGGATGGATTACTTCTAGTCTCAGCGTAGCATGACCACTAAGAGACTCCTAGTGTGAGCCGAGCCTGATGGTTCATACCTGTGATACAGGAGGGTTCCACAAGCTGGAGGCTAGCCTGGGATCTACGGTTACAGGCCATACTGGGCTACACAGCCTCGTGTAACTCCAGCTCCAGGGGATCTAACAAATAAAAAATAAGTTGTGTGTGTGTGTGTGTGTGTGTGTGTGTGTGTGTGTGTGTGTGTATGTGTGTGCACTCGCGCACACTCGCACACAAGAAAGCTGTGTCCAGCTAACAGGATTAGCTACAGCTGTTTAGTTTTGGCCAGTTGACACAGTTTATGGGAATGTAGGCTGCATGACTGGTAATGGGATGGTTGATAAAAAAGATGCCAAAAGATACTGGAGATAGAAAAGAATGGAGGAAATTTAAATGCCACTCAAACCAAGAAGTTGAGCTGGGGATTGAGCTCAGTGGTGGAGCATTTGGCTCTTGTGCATGAGGCCCTGGGATCAGTTCCCAGTGCTGAAGTAGCAGCAGTAACAACCGGAACAGTGCATGCGGCCCCAAGGCATGGGCCTGCAGCGTCTGCGGCCCCAAGGCATGGGCCTGCAGCGTCTGCCCTGCTCACTCCCAATCAGGGCGCTTCTCGGCAAGTGCAGATGTTACTGTGTTCCCGAGTGACAGAGCACGCTTACTGTTCTTGGACTTGCCCAGGATTTATCACAACTCTGGGAGAAACAAAACAAATCCTGTCACTGTTGCCATTGAACTAACAAGTGAGGAGATGATTTTGTTCTGTTTAAATTAAGATAGTCCATAGTTTTTCAACTTTTGAGCATTTTATTAAACCTTACATATACTTTTTTTTTTTAAACCAAGGGGCGGGGGCATGTTCTCTCTCTCTCCCTTGCCTCCACCCCGACTCCCCAGAATTTCCTGTGTAGTCAAGGCTGTCCTTACCCTGTGATGAGCCTCTGGCCCAGCCGTGTGTACTGGACGGTTTCTGTCCGCCACTGGTCTTGATGTATGTAAGGTGTCCTGTTGAAGTAACCCTCGTCAGGGGTGAGCCATTGTTTCCCCTTTGTACAAGGAGGGAAGTGGGGCCTGTGCAGAAGGACAGGAAGGGCCTGGGAGGTGTTTACTGAGGGTTTGTTTTGGGTGGCCTGCGCTCCCACCCCAGTGCTGAAGATAGAGGAGCCCAGTCCTCTATGCACACAGCAATGCTTTCGCTATAGCCCAGCTCCTGGTAAGTATGTGTGTGTGTGTGTGTGTGTGTGAGAGACAACTGAATTTCCATTTTTGAACTAAATTTGGATAAGGCAGAGTTTATGCACAAATAGACAGAAAAATGGCTCTTTGTTCAACAATTGGAAGTACTTCAGAAATGATAGTTTGTAACGACAGTAAAACACCAGTATTACTGACTACTCGTACCATGATTTAGCTTCAATTCAATAATTTTTGAGTGTTGGCTATACACTTGAGAAGCAGGAGTATTGCCACAAGCTCCAGGCCAGCCTGGGCTACTTAGTGAATAAGCTCCAGGCCAGCCTGGGCACTTAGCACCAAGCTAGTAAAGACTAGAAAGCAAGATCTTATCAGAAAAAGATGATGATGATGATTTTTACAGTTTCTTCTCTTTCTTACCATGGTTGTGTACATTAAACATTTAGAACCTAAAAAAACTCAGGAGCTAATTTCTGCACCTCTGTTGCTGTGTGATCTCTGGCTCACACGGAGAACAGTGTATTTCAAGCAGGGTCTGTATTACATGAGAGTCAGAACTTTCCTCATTGTGTTGGGAAGATTTTAAACATACAGTGAAGTTTATATAACTTTATTGTGTGTTACCAAACACCAACCACATAGGTTCCATTCTCTTTTATTACCTAGCTTTTCAATGCATTTCAAAAGAAATCACAAATGTCAGATTATTCCCCCAGTACATTAGTACACATATAATAAATTTATTATTCATTTAGATTTTACATCTTTATTTCATATTTACATGTAATGAAATGCACAGACATTGTATTAATTTGCTGAGATTTTGTGTACGTGTAATCCAAATCCTTTTCAAAGTTTAAAGCGTTGAAGTCCTCCCTTCCCGGGCCACCCTCACATCACCTGACTCGGACTCCGTCACATTCCAGGGCGAACTACTCGGCACCAGTGGTAACCAGGCCAGGACTACAGGCCACCACACTCATGTGGGTTGCTTGTTACCTTCCTGATGAGCTGAGAATTTCTTGTATGAAAGAGAGATGACTGTGAAATTCATTAATGTTGGAGCATCACTTCTCTTTATTCCTTTTAATTCCTGAATATTCTACATGAATACATCAGAGTTCTTCTGTTTCCCTACTGATGGGCACCTGAGCTGTTTCTGCTATTGTCTTCTTACTGTTGTGAATAAAGCTGCTGTGTTCATGTGTGTGTGTGTGTGTGTGTGTGTGTGTGTGTGTGTGTGTGTGTAGGCATAGTGTCTTTTGACATAATTGTGCACTCACTAAATTGCAAAATGTAGGGAGAGCAAATGCCTCTCACACAGCTCCCCTATTACAGTTTGGAAAACACAGACACAGTACAGCTGCCAGGCCCACAGACCTGACCCGGGTCTCCCCAGTTTCCCAGCCTTTTCTGTGTGTGTGCAGTCTACCACATTTCTTCATATAGAGAGAACCATACAGCCCAATCACAGTCGAGATGGAGAAGTGTCCGTCACAACGGAGCGCCCTGTCTTCCTTCAGGGCCGCATGCTGCCATCTTCCTGCAGACGCTTGCCTACTCTGAACAGCTCTTGGTCATAGTTTATATCTCTGTAAGAATGTTATACAAATCGATCATAAAACCCTTAATGTCTTCACTTGGCTTTGCCACTCATCTTTATGGCCCCCTTTAAGCTGCTGCATGTGGCACCGATTTGCTTCTTTTTGTCACTGGGCAGTATTCCCGTGCATGGATGGACCACAGGTTTCAGTCACTCCTGCTAAAGGAGATTTCGGTTATTTCCAAATAAATATCTTTTTTACAAATAGTTCTCGTATAAACAGTTTTCATTTCTATGAAGTAAACTCTCAGGAAAGTCACTATTGAACTATTTGAGAAAAGGACACAAGTCACAATAAGACATTCCTAGATTGAACTACACAGTGTCTATACCATTTTACATCCCCACTACCAATGTATGAGAGATCCAGTTTTTCTTCATCCTTCTGGAAGTTTGTATCATAGCTCTTTTTATTTTGGTCATCCTAAGTGTGTTCTAGTGTCTTATTGTGGGTTTAGTTTGTATTTCCCTAACAATTAGCAACTTTGAAGATCATTCCATGCGCTTGGTTAAATATCTAAATAACTGTTGACCTAAAGTATTCATTCAAGCCATTTGCCTATTTTCTTGTTTGGTTTAGTTTTTTGAAAGATTTTATTGGATTTATTATGTGTATTTGGGTGGAAGGTTAGGTACTTGAGTGCCTTTGGAGGTGCTTTGAACCGAAATGACAGGCAGTTGTGAGTCACTCTGTATGAGTGCTGGACCCCAAACTGGGGTCCTCTGGAAGAGCAGCCAGTGTTCTGAACCACCCAGCCCCCTTGGCTTGCTTTTTGTTTGTTTTTAAATGAGTCTCATGTAGCTCAGGCTAGTCTCAAAATTGCTGTGTAGCTGAGGCTAGCCTTGGACTCCTGACTTTTTTTTTTTTTTTTTTTTGAAGAGGTTGTTTGTTAAGGTAGAGCCTCATTCTGTAACCAGGCTGGGACTACAGGCACACAACACTCATGTGCTCACTTTCTATGTGGGTCACTTGTTACCTTCCTGATGAGCTGAGAGTTTCTTGTATATTCTAGATATACAATTACGTTCAGTCTGTGCATATTTGTGTCATCAAAGTTTTGTTGGAACATGGTCATATCCATGTATGTATTTATCACGTGTCACGGTTTTCACACTGCAATCGCACAGCTGAAGCAGAGACCACACGGCCCCTGAAGCCCATGGTATTTACTCTCTGGGCCTTTTCAGAAAATGCCCTGATTCCTGCTCTGAAGTAGAAACTGGAAAGATGAAATTCAGACCTGCTGAAGTCAGGTTCTTCTGAGAGATGCAGAGAAAGCCAGTCCATGGGAGAAAACCATTCAGACTTGCTGAGGAAGAGTTGAAGAAGCCAAGGTTTCATGTCTGCCCCAGACCCTAGACAGGATCCATTTCCTACACCCCTGCACCTCTACTGAACCAGCATATTCAACTTTTGCTGAAGCAAATTCAAACCACGCTTCATAACAGTCACAGGCCTCATGAGTAAAGCATTTTTTTTCTTAATGTTTTGCTTGCTTTGAGGCTGGCTCTCCTGTAGCCCACTGGCCTTGAATTTGCTTATGCGTGTAGTGTAGCTAAGGCTGGCCTTCAACTCCTGATCCTTCTGCCTCTGTTCCACAGTGGTAGGACTACAGGGTGTACCACCCTGCCTGCCTCTTTTAGCTTTTGTAAGGTGGGTGCTGTCCTGTACATGGTTTAGGTGAGCCTTGGGAGGTGTAGAACCTAAGAGGCTGGGCCTCCAGGGGGCAGTTAAATCACAGAGGGTGCTGCGCATGCACAAAAATTGCTGTAGTTTTCCTGAGACCCTGGTTAGCTATCACAATGAAGTTGTGGTTACAGGGCATGGTGCTTTGAATGAGACTGTCCCTCATAGGCTCGGATGTCTGAATGCGGTTACAGGGTGTGGTGCTTTGAATGAGACTGTCCCTCATAGGCTCAGATGTCTGAATGCTTGGTCCCTTGTCCGCAGCACTGTTTGGGTAGACGTAGGAGGTGTGGCCTTGCTGAGGAAGTGTGTCACACGGGGCACGTTTTGAGGTTTAAAAGCCACATGCCCATTCTCAGTGTTCTGCTCTGAGCCCTCAGCTCCTGCTCCAGGCACCTGGCTGCTGCCTCTGCTCTGCCACCATGGACTCGCACCCTCTGGAACCGTAAGCCCACGGAAGCTCTTCCGGAAGTTGCCTTGGTCACGGTGTTCTATCCCAGCAACAGAAAAGTGACTGCTCCACAGAGCAGATGTCGTCCCTGGCCAGCCTCACCGTACCATGTCATCTCTCCGAGCTCTGCCTACAGTGGTGAAACCCTAGCCAGATGCCCCTGGTGAGGGCACCCGCAGCATTTTGTTCACACGGTCAGCCTCCAAGACTGAACTGTAGGAACCTCTTCTTGTCCCTTTTCTCAGTTGGAGTACTGGGATCCAACCCAGGTACACGCTGAGCAAACACCACCACTGCATTCTCTCAGACCAAGCTCTCTTCACGTCCCACAGAAGGAACAGGCTTGTGTTTCTACCACTAAAGGAACTCTGGCTAGGGCAGAGTGGTGAGAGTCAGAAGGAGGCTTGCCATTGGGCAGAGACGGAGTAAAGAAAAATGAGAAGAAAACCGCGGACCAGCCTCTAACAGTCATTTCAGGATTTTCAAAAGCCCTCTAGCCGGGCATACACCTATAGTGCCAGCACTTGGAAAACGAAGGCAGGAGGATCTCAGGAGTCCAAGGGCAGGCAGCCTTGGCTACAGGAAACCATCTCAAACAAACACACACACCAGAACAGCATCAACAAAAATCCCCCTCTGGAGACTCATCGGAACAGGTGGTAGTTCCGGCTTCCCGTTCCGTTTAACTCAACAGTAGCCCCTCTCTTCCTCTTACTTCCTTGCCATGAGTTATTCTTGTTAAATGGATGATAGTTTAAACAAAACTATGTTTAACACTAGCTCAGTGTTGTACAGGCCTGATACTAAGTGTATCAATCAAAGACGCAGAACACAGGTGAGATGTCCGTTGTTGACCTCAGGCACAGGCCCCACTCTGAGTGGCCCAGCCACCTTCTTGAACTCACAACAGCTGGTGGGAAGCAGCTTCAGCTTGGCTCCTCCAGGGGCTAACCTCTAAAACAAGGACTGGTAGCTTTCAAGACACAGAGAAACTCTGAACTTCCTTCCCTGGTGTGGGAATTGTAGACTGTGGGGATGTGGAGGAAAGAGCCCTGGACTCTAGACTTCCAGACTCGGCCTCATGCTGGAGGCAGGAAGATAAGACATTCACTGTTTATTGTTTTAAATCTACTGCCACTTTATCGATTGCCTTGGCTCTGGTGGTTCTTCCCTTTCCTTTTCTTTTTTCTTTTACTGTCTTCTTCTTCTTCTTTTTTTTTTTTTTTTTAAGACATGGTACCATGTAGCCCAGACTGACTTCAAACTCAAAAAAAAAAAAAAAAAAAATGTGGAGCCAGCCATTTGTGGAGTGAAACTCTGAAACCGTGAGCCGATGTAAATGCTTTCTCCTTTTAAACTGTTTCCCCTATATATGTTTCACAGTGACAAAAAGCTAACACGTGAAATGAGATATCATGTTATGTCCTGCTGGGAACCATGGGGTTGGCTTGGCCGTGGTGCCTTGAGAGGCAACGTCACAGGTTTTTCAGGTTAGAATCTGTGACTCCTTGGGCACTAGTACCTTCCAGTTCCTGAGAAACCGAGGCCCTCCCTCAGGCGGTGAAGTGTTCAGGCCACTTTGTGTTTCTCTGCATTTTCCCTCAGAAGTCACGGAAGCGTGGAGACTTGACGGGACAAGTGGTCTCAGATAGTGATCTCGTGTCCCTGTAAAGCTGGCCAGCAGCCTTGTATCCTGGGCAACTGCAGTGTCTTGATCCTGGCCATCGCCACTGTATTCTGTTTCTGGCAAGGGTATAAAAAGTCTGATTGCTCTCAATAAAGTTGTCACAGCCTCAGTCTTGCTGTGGCCCCTCCAACCCCAGCCCCGTTTAATTTCTCGATGGCCTCATCAGGTGACCTTGTACAGGTGCTTACACCATCCATCAACTTACCAAACAGCTTCAAAACAGAGACCAGTGACACTGTATTGGGCATAGTGTGAAGGACCGCCATGATACCGTTATGGTAAAATCGCAACGATCTTTTATGAGACAGTTTATTTGATTAAAATATTTCAATCTAGCAATTTCAATTTAAAAATTTGCCTCAAAAGCATCCAGAAATATTTTAAGATGTTTATGAAGGCAATTTTAGAATAGTGAAAATCTATAGAAGGGCAAATGTTGATGTCAACAAATAATTCATTAAATAAATCATCAGGATAGCAGTGTCTATATAAGTGAGGTCTCTATCCAAACTACTCAAGTTTGATTCACAACCCCATTATTTTCTTGCTTCAAACTGTCTTCCTTGTGGTCTGGTTTCCTCATCTGTAAAATGGGATTGCTGTAGGCATTAAATTGATGGAAACATACACCTGATATAGTCTAAGTGATGAATAAGCATTCATAATTTTCATGATTGAATCAACACAGATCACCAATGCTCCACACAAGAGCCAAGCGATCACTCCATTTTAGAACAGAGTGAGAGAGGAGAAGGAGAATCTCATCATGGGGCTTCGGAGGAAGGCAAGTCTGAGTGTTGGGGCAAGGAGGTGTCGGAAAAGAAAAGGGCTCAGCAGAAGGAAAGAAAGCTGGAGCAAAATCAAGGTACCCACAACAAACAGCCCAACTGCGGCTCTCAGGCCCGGCTGTGCCAACAGAACATCAATCAAACTGTCCATAAATAAAAATGAAGCAATCCAGAGGTGAACCTTTTCTTCCTTCGGGAGTGTGAGTCAGGAGAACTCAGATTCCACAGTCTTGCTGGGTTAAGAAGACACAAGGCTTTTCTAGGCTGATTTCTAAAATAACCATCAAATCATTCAAATGCTGTTTTTTACACACCTATCACGTCAGGATGGTAACTGGTCTTTGTAGGATGTGAATCTGATTTAGTTGGTTGCCTTCCCTTGATTGGCAGGGTCAGCTGTTCACTTTATAGATTTAAAAGCAGAAATAAACCTTAGACGTTTTGCACCCCCCCCCCCCGGGTGGGGGGCCTCTACTGCTTGTGTGACATGGTCTCCTTTGGCAAACCAATAAGGCCTCTCCCTCAGAATATTGTTTTTAAGTGCATTAAAAATCCCAAACCCGCCGGGCGGTGGTGGCTCACGCCTTTAATCCCAGCACTCGGGAGGCAGAGGCAGGCGGATCTCTGTGAGTTCGAGGCCAGCCTGGTCTACAGAGTGAGATCCAGGAAAGGCGCAAAG